AAGAAAAGCACAAAAATACACAGCATTAAAAACTTCCTCTGAAACTGGTATTTGAATAACTTGATTTTGTCTTATTAATTCAATACACAAAAATATAGAGCATTAAAACTTCCTCTGAAACAGGTATTTAAATAACTTGATTTTGTCTTACTAATTCAATACACAAAAATATAGAGCATTAAAAACTTCCTCTGAAACAGGTATTTGAATAACTTGATTTTGTCTTACTAATTCAATACAGAAAGATGTACGTACTTTACAAGTAGAAAATTAACATCAGGTATGAAATCTGCAACATTTAAATATAATAAGTACAGGTTCACATATATTTTGTGTGTCTGTGGTTGTTGACAATAAAAAATGTTAAATTATGTACAGACCTCCAATAATTTATCTTACTTGCAAGAAACAAACCTTTTTCTTTCTTATCTAAATAAGTTACCATATCTTCAGTGTATACATAGAAGAATATAGTAAACTATATAAAATATACTCACTAAACCAGATACATTTAGAATAGAGAACAATACTCCAAACTTAAGGACAATACAAACACATGGCCAAACTATGATCCAAAGTTCACTTTTTATAGCTCATTTTCCACTAAAAACCCAAACTAAAACAATTACAAAGTATATATATAAATATAAAACAAGCTTTAACCAAAACAAAATCACCAAGGTACAGGCAATAACATGGAGTTGATGTACCTTGGTTTTTAGGTGACTGTGGAAGTAAAACTTACATAGTGGTAGGGTTACACCATCTATAAGATTTAACTTCCATTCACAAAACCTCACATGTAAATAAAAAATAATAAGAGGGTAAAAAGAAGAAAAGATAAGAAATCAAAATGTGGGTGCTCAAGCCCACAACATCCTACATCTATATCTCTCTTGACAGCCTGCAGGCAGCTGTGGGAGGATGACTGCTCTCAGAAGAAAAGAAGTGAAAGAAAAGAGAGAGAAAACAATCCTATTATTGGGTGTGATGAGCAAGAAGACCTTATCTCCTGAAATTGGCATTTCAGCCACCATTATGGTAGTAAAAGCTCAAGTAAATATACAAGTAGGTTTAACCCAAAGGATCAGTTGCAGAAGAGCAAGTTATAGAAATAAGACTCAAAGATTATCCAGGTAGAGTAATTTAAAGATTCAACATAGCAAAAGTAAATTCAAATGTTAAAGACAATAAAAGGGAAGAAACTATTATACTTCTTATATGCACATATGGTCAACATGTTTGTTTTGATACCAAATACATTCAAAACACAGTTGAAGAACATGGTGAATGAAAACCTAAAGGAAGTATTCAAGCATTTTAAAGAAATTCTATGAAGGAAACAACCAAAAAAATCTATACAGGTTATTAACTACAAACAAAATAAAATGAACAAAAAACAAATCTTTCCATGTAATAAATCAAAGTGTCAATCACACAGTTAATAATATATAGCAAATAATACGTATATCCTAGATAGAAGTAGAGTAAGTGTTTTATTAAACTATGTGCTAGAAATAATGGTAATCTTTAACATTTTAGTTTATTTTAACTCTGAAGTACATTATAATGTTTTACTAGAATTTTACATGGTTTGTATTTTATTATGGGAGTAATCTGTTTATAGCTTTATGATTTTAATCAGGGATTATACAATTTCCTGTGAATTTAAATTGTGATTTTATGTAGGATATTCTGCCTACCGGATATAATCCAAAAATTACAAATAAATAATGGACAAATGTCAATTAGGGATTAGGTTTTGGGTGCTTTAACCCAGAGTGTTCCAACACTTACTACCAATCACCATCTGAAGACAGTTTTGGGTATGGTAGCCCCTAAAAACTAAAGATTTTCAATGTAACTCTACAATAAAGATTTTGTTGTAAAGAAACACCCTTAATTTCTACCCCTGTTAAACATTCAACATCTATGCTTTAGACAATTAATACGAAGTAACAAGAGCTATAAACCCTTACCTAAACAGTTCAGTAATAACCAAGCACCCATTCTTTTCACTGAAAATTACCTAATTATTCATTTCCATTTTTTGGATTAAGTATGAAAGAAGGAATTTCCCCACACTTTTGGGTGCTATATATTTGTTTCTGTAGGTGTTGAAATAAAACACTGTCAAAAAATAACTAAAACAAATTGTGTAGACATATTAGATAGTTAACAAATCTGTTACAGTAGCAAAATATGAAGACAATTATTTTCTATGTTCACCTATAAGCACTACTGCAAATCACATCTCCTCATATTATTATTAGACATGCTAACAAATACAACAATGATGGGATGGTTTAGTGGGTCCCATCAACCAAGTTGTAGTCTGACCACCACTGACACATTCTAATGATTGCAAGTTACTTGTAACAAAATCACTCACATTAAAAAGTAGAACTAATTGAAATGAACTTAAATCAAAGTAGCAGCTAAAACATAGAAAATATACATTTTTACATTCCTTTATCTCTTTTAGTTTCATAATGGTAGTGCAAAGAAACAACCAAATGTTCAATCAATCATTTCTGGAAAGGAAAGAAAGAAAACATACTTGTAGCAAATTGCCGTTATATTATTTTGACATGGTTATAACTATATTCCTATCAACTGTTTCAAACACCTCTGATGTACAAATCTTCTATTAATGAAAGTTGTGTTCTATTATACATTAATATTGCTACCCGATGAAAGATTTTTAAACATAAACAATGTATTTTCCTACAAATATATATTTAAAACATTTGGTACACTATCTTTATAAATTTCCTTATTATTGCATGTGTAATTAGTAAAATGTTTACAAAGAAAGAATATTAAAAAAATAAAACCATTTTCCTTAGAGAAAAATCATAAAATATTTTAATGTATATATTTTTAAATTTTAGTAGATAAGTGTAGGTTTACAGCAATACCAAAATATAATCAAGAGTAAATATTGTAAATAATGCAAAAATATAGAAAACTTGTATGATTTTATTCACATTAAAAACCAAAAAAGAAATCTTCTAAATACAAAATCAATCTGCTAAAGCTCAACAGGAATAAAAGAAACCTTTGATAGCAATAATACTTCAGTAACTATTTTCATTTGATGTATTTGTCACTAACTTAAAGACTATCTGTAAGAGATTATACACACTTTTACTACAGTCAAGTTAAGAAATAAGAACATGGTTAAAAAGTGAGGTTTCAAAAAATAGTTGAATGACATGTTGATGAAACATTTGGTATGGCAATAATAAAATCATTATTGATTATTATACTTTATCTGAGAGTAAACACTGCTGCAGATTAAAATCTAGTAAGGAAAAAATATATTTTTTTTACTCTGAAAAACAGTAATTTTTTATAAATAGAATGTTAGGGTTTCACAAAAATATTTTTTGCTGTTTATTTGTTTGTTTGTTTTGAATTTCGTGCAAAGCTACACGAGAGCTATCTCCACTAGCTGTCCCTAATTTAGCAGTGTAAGACTAGAGGGAAGGCAACTAATCACCACCACCCACCGCCAACTCTTGGGCTACTCTTTTACCAACGAATAGTGGGATTGACCGTCACTTATAACGCCCCCATGGCTGAAAGGGCGAGCATGTTTGGTGTGACGGGGATTCGAACCCGAGACCCTCAGATTGCAAGTCAAGCGCCCTAACCTCCTGGCCATGCCAGGCCGTGCTGTTTATTATGGAGTGACTCCATATACTAGTAAAATCAAAGCACATGAGAACTGAAAAATAAATCAATATAACAAACATATTTCTAAAAGTCAAATAAATATAATTGTCATTTTAAAAGTAATAAGCAGAGATTGTTTCATTCCAACAAAACATTTATAGCACTATTGACTCAAACCTTTAAAACTACATATATATTTACACACATACATATACAGTGTGTGTGTGTGTGTATTTGAAAAATGCAAGTTAGAAACAGTTTATATACAACCAATTACCAAAAATTAATTCAATAGTTTCCAGCTAAACCAATTTGTTTAAAAATTGCCTGAACACCATTTGGTCACTAAAGAATATAAAATTAATGCAAACACTAACGCTTCATTGAAAAAACTTTGATCTTCCTTGTTTTTGTATTATTGTTACCAAATGACATTAAAGAAATATATCTTCCATAAGGAACTGATGCACAGGGTCCTGTTTACACAAAATAATTAAGAGCTTATGACAAACAACTCAGAATTACCTCTTTACCATTTAGTCAAAATAACTTATGAAAAAACTATGCTTATTAATAACTAAGAATTTAACAAAACACTTCTTCAAAGTACACAAATGTAAATAAACAAGAGCAAATTATTTTTTTACTGAACTGACCCATGCTGATATAATATGGTTTAAATGAATGTTAATTGATTATAAAGCAATGACATCTTCAAAATACAATTGATAAAACACATACATCATGTTTAACCTATGTATATGAATACACAAAGTAAATATAAATAAATGTTTTATTTAGTGGGTTCCATCATAAGAAAGCAATCACTAAAACTAAACAATTTTAACTACATCTCCACCATGAGTAATTAAATAGTGGTATAAAACATAATATTAGTCCTAAAAAATGATGGCTACATCTCCACTGCATCCAGTTTAATCACATTAAGGTTAATCACATTAAGGTTCATTATAAAAAATACTGTAGGAATCAACAACAAGGTCTTCAGAAGGATAAGGATTAAAACTTGTATCAAATGATGAACAATATTGTTGAAAAGCAAGGTATGCACAACAAGCCTGTGATGAGAAGAAACAGTTTTAACACAAAACACCTGACAAATTATTCTCAATGAATAATCTTATAAAAAGGAACATTTTCTACTTTTTTTTTTACAGCTAATTTCAAACATTTATATTTGTGTTCCATCTTAATGCATTTAAATGTTATATCAAGACATGTTGGATGAAAGTAAGCTATATACATTACATAAAAAATTGGATTGTGAAATGATTTTGTGATTTGTATTATTATAAGTACCTCTGAACACAAACAGATAAATAAACATTGTCAAAAGTGCTTCTTAATTACCTTAAACAAAATAATCTTTGTAAATCACATAACTTAGAATTAATTGTTAATGCAATATAAGAGTTTGAGGTACTCTATAAACCCAGGGGAATGCTGCATTCTGATGATATTCAAGAAAAATTTAAGAGGAAGAGAATTTTTGCTCAAATAATTAGTTCAAACGTTTCCCTAAACAAATGATACATAATGAACAGTAGAGCCACAGCAACAATGGTAAACATCTTTAATGAACATTTTGGAATTATACATTTTCTATCTTCAGCAAATGTATGAAAATAACAAATTGAACAATCTTTAGTATAAAAATACAATGAATAGTGTTAGGAAATTATAAAACATTCAGTAAATTAAAGTGGGGGAGAGCTATTTTAATAAAGTGAGAGGGAACAAGTTTGAATTTCTATTCAGGCTTGGATTTTCATTCATAATACATAGACTTTCTTTTATCAACAGTTCAGTTTGTGATCATTACATCCAAAAGTTAGAATGAAAAATCTTCTAAGGAAATGGGGTGTGATGATCTTTCATTGTGAGAATATATAGAATTAGGTGGAATTTGAAGTTTAAGTCCAGATCTGTTAGAAACTCCCATGTGTTCCAAATAGAAGAAGTCTTGCCAATGTAGGTGGCTTTACAGCTACCACATGTATATTTATATATGGTCCTTAGTTCTAAAAAAGCTACTGATACAAAGTGAAGATTTGAAGACAATACAGAGTTTAATCTGGGGGTAGAAGGACCTGAGCAGCTTGTTGAGTTGGGTTCTAACTATAAGACTTTGTTTTCCAAAGTAAGGAGTAACAAAAGTTAGAGAAAATTTGAAACATGTTTGGATATTATTCAGTGGAGTTATTTTATTAGTAAGAAAGTTGTGTTAAGTTTCTAGCAAGGATGAAGGATACCCATTTTTTCTTAAGATATTCTGAAGTTATTTCATTATGAATAGAGATGTAATCCAAGCAGATTGAGAAGGCCCCATAAAGAAGAGTTAAGACTAAGGAAATTCAAACTTGTTCCCCCCCTCACTTTATTCAAATAGCTCTCTCTCTCCTTTTTTCTGTATTAAATGTTTTATAATTTCCTAACACTATTCACTGTATTTTTATATTAGTAATTATACTAAAGATTGTTCAATTTGTTATTTTCATAGATTTGCTGAAGGTGGAATATGTGTGATTCTGAAACCTTCATTAAAGATGTTTACAATTTTCCCAAAACAGTTTCATGTCCATTTATGAACTTATATTCTGCTATATCAGAGGACAAAATGTCTTACTTTCTAATGGTCTTTAATATTCTGCAAGCATAAAATTTCAGTGAATTACATAAAATCTATGGGTCCATTGTAAATTTGAGTGTTAAAAACAAAATTAAAAGTAAGTATAAATATATAAATGTGTGTGCCTTCTCCACTGAATTCTAAAAGTTAGCCACAGCTTTAACATTCTTGTCTTATGAAAAGAATTTAAGTTATTTCAAACTTTATGAAGAAATTTAAAAGTTTCAAATTAATTTCTATTACTTACCCAGAGAAAAATAGAAACCAGTGTTGAAATTAGAGCCGTTCTAATTTTACATAAGTCACAATGAATTCTGGGATCATATGCATGACGCCATTCATTAGACAAGTAGCAAAACCCAACTAAAAACATCAAAGCCAACAGACCTAGAGTATATTTAAAGAAAAACAGATGTACAAGAATACTGTGCATAAATCCTTAAATATTAATTTTGAGTATAATGTCATATTTCTATCATCAATTTGATGTATTTCCAGCAATAAAGTTAGAGGTTGTAATCAAAATATTATCTACACATAAATACATGTTAACTGAATATAATCTTCTTTACTAAATCAGTTAATGTAATTTACTTAAATACTATCAAACTGTTGTTTAACAGTTATTTATTAAAAACTATAACATGCAGTAAACGTAATTAGTTTTATTTTCATAGATTTTACCCTTCAAAACAAAAAAAAGAAAGACACATAGTTCAACCTTGTAAAATGTTAATATTTGAAAAAAGCTTCTTTTGCATTTAAGTTTCTTGCAATACTTATCAGCTGTCAGACAGTAAACAAAGTTAACATTTTCCTTACCTGAAAATGTATTTCACATAGATACTCACCTTTTTACATAACAAAGAGCCATTACCTTTCACACACTGCCATTAAATTCCTGCACATGTCATAAATCTTGAACAAATCTCCCACCCCTACACATTTTAACATGTATTGCACAAGCCTATGATAAATAATCATTAAACTATAGTCTTCCACTAACAGGAGGGTAGCAAATCCTCTATTCACAGTATAATCCCCATGAGTGCAAGTATTTAATGAAAGGCTCATTTTCGAAAAGGTAAAGGAAATGCACCAGAAATGGGAAGAAAGGCTGGAAAGTTGTACAAGTAAGCAGAATGTTAACTTAGAAACATTACTCACTTCTCTGCACAAAAAAAGAGCAGGAATCACACACTGAAGACGAAGCAATTACATAAATGAGCTCATTTCTGAAAACAGTAACAGAAATGGAAAGTCCATGGAATGTGACACCCAGCACTCAGTGAGAGACCGCAATCATTTCAAGCAGGGAATACTCTTTACCAATATGTTTGTGGTATTCATCATTAGGAGATGACATAAAGCAAAAGAAAGTGTCAAAAGAACATTTTTATGGTACTAAGGTGGGTGGAATGTAGGATCACTTAACCAACCACTATCCGACAAACAAGAAGTCAGGCATGGGGTGTAGTGTGGCTAGGGCTATAAGTTAGGCTGTTTTGTATAGGAGAAATACTTACACGAAATACTCACCACAAATCTGTGTCCCAAAGCAAAGACCCACTCGGCTAGACTGAACCAGAGGGAATGTATCAGTTCATAACATAATAGACTGTCCTGTATTACACTACCAGGCAGTGGCGTAGCAAGAGTTCTCATCACCCGGGGGCAAAGACACTATTGGCACCCCCACCTCTGAAATGTTTTGATTATTTGTTCTGTGACTCATTAACCAGGCCTAAAATAAATTAACAATATAACATCTCACGATATCACAACTGTAAACCTGGAACTAATGAAGTATAGCCTACTAGGTGTACTTACATAATTTGTAAACCATTTTGATATTTATTTCATCCAGTATTGTTCAAAATCACATAGCTAGAGTAATCTTTCAAGCATGCAGAATAAATTTTTGTTATATCCCTAGTTTTGAAACTTATGTTTTATATGAGAAGCCAGTCACTTATGGTATACATGGATTATAAAACAGATTGATAAAATACTACTTAAGTTTACAAATAACAAATTTTATTAGTTTACAAAACTGTAAATATACTTAACTAGATTTTGTGCATTATATGAACCTTTCATGCTTTTGCTGCTGCAAATGCATAAATTAAACTATCAAAATTTAAGGTATTAAGGGTTTTTTTCAATACTTAATATT